CCAGCCTTCTGGTTAGCAGTCAAGTGCCTTAGCCACTATGCTACCAGAGCTCCCACAAGATAATTAGAGGGTGATTAAAACCTTTAATAAAAATGTTACCCACAAAGAACAGCTTCAAGGATAAACTCTTCTGATAAGGGACAGAGGGAAATCTGCCCAATGTTGCAATAATGAATTATCTGCTAAAGCAGAGAGAACACTTGTCCTAACGAGGCTTGCTGGACTATACTTCTAGTATCTTCAAATAACCTAGGAGGCAGGAGGGAACTTCCCAGCACCCACCAGGGATCCTCCCAGGACCAGAAATGGTACTTTTTTCTAAAGTCTTCTCTATTGGAACTACCTATACAGATGATATGCTCCTCAAAAGTAAATCCAGAGATTAAGAGACTAGATCTCAGATAACAGAAATTAAACAGTAATACTAAAAAAAAAAAAATCACTGGTACAGATGTATAGGCGTTAACTCCTCCAAAGAGTCACCAACTATAAAGACAAAGAAAGGTGGCAAAGGGACTAGGGGTAGAGAGAAACTATTTCCAGTAAATTCTGTGCTAACTAGGGAAAAGATAGCTATACAAATAGGGAGGGGGGAAAAAGAAAAGCTCAAAGTCATAAGCTAGCATCTATATCCTTAGCAGCAATCCTAAGAAACATTAACCAGAATCAAAGAATAAAATTTACTTACTTTGTCGACACCCATTCTCTTAAAACCTGCTTGTAATATTTTGAAGTTCTGGATGTATTCATGTTCTAGCTTAGCTTGGAATTTCACTTTCTTCAAGGCAATGGAGCCAGGGAACAGCATGTCCATAAACTGACAATAGGCAGCTCCTGAATGAACAAATACAAAATAAAACAAGTAGGTCATTTCATGCCACCACTAAAGAAGCAAGCTGAACTTTTTCCCAGACTCACTTAACCCAAGTACAATTTAAAAAGTTGTAAAGTGAACCTACAAAACCCAGACACTTCATTACTACTTGACATCAGGGATGAATTACCCAATAACCAAGGTAAGCATGTGCTTAGGGTATCAACAAAACAGGGGCACCAGATGCCCAAAGCAAAGACCCATAGAAGCCAACAGACACAATACAAGGAAAAGTGACTGCAGCAGTAGAAGGGAACTGGCAGGGCACTAAATCAACTTATACCAGCTCCAGTGTGGGAGAATGTGCCCATCGAAATAAAGTTGACACCGGGTCACAACGGCAGGTAAGTGCTAGGCTATTTAAGCTATAAGGCCCCTACTACTTCAACACCTCCCGTCTAATTGACCTCCTGTGCAAATTAAACTCCTAACTCAATGAGTCTCTTGGGAGTATGCTATTTCTTTCAAATAAATAAGAGGTGAGGATGGGCTGTCAAGTTTAACGCTTGCTACATTCACTCAATACGCAACTGGATTCAACATAAGCAGTTACTGGGCAAAGACATATTGTCCATTTTCAAAGAACCATCTAGTACATCCATATCTGCGGATCCAGCAACTCCAGCCAAGAGGGCCAGCAGTGTTCACTGCCATGATATAAACAAAGATATGCTCTTGGCACATATGCTGGAAACAACCAATGGGAATTCCAGTCCCACATGATGTGCAAAAGTGAGGAAACTTGAATAAGTTGACTAGTGCAATGAATTTAATCAAATTACTTTTTTACTATAAAGCATTTATATAAAGAGTTATGTCCTAACTTTTGTAAACAACATTTATAACTTTAAATTTAAAATATATTTGGCATACACAAGGATGTAATCTAGCATACATTTAATATAATACTAACATGGGTACTAATTTAATACTAAGATAGCAAACATCAAAATACTAATATTTACTTAACATGAAAACTTTTCATTCATGTATCAAGTGAGTTTCACTTTTTATTGTCTGTTACATGGGACACAGTGCTTGCTATTACTCTTTACAAGCCAATCAATGAGGTTATTGGGCACAGTAAGGGGACACAAAATTCTTATTTCTCTATTATGCAAAAAATGCATGTCAAAATATGAGTGTTTCTAAGTTTGTCTACTAAGAAATCAACAATGGGTATTTATCAGAACATTACATTTATATTTTATCAAAATATTTACATATCTTCGTGTAATGAAACTAAACGATTCCTTAAAGAAATAAATGAAAATATAGGTAATAAAAATTATATAAATGTATTTTATTTCCCATTTCCCTTCAGACTAACTTTCTTTAGGAAACTGATATTGTTGTAACTTGCAACACAAACTTGCTTGAGAAGTGGTGCTCATTTCTCTTTATGTATCTCCAAATATGAGAGTTGAACATATCCACAAAGAAAAAAAATGTACATTTAAAATTTCATGGACAATAACAATTACATCTGCCTTTTCATTTCAGATTGATCGAGTATAACTTTATATTCAGTTCTCTCTCGTCACCCACATAAGAATGCAATGGCACTATAATCACATGACTTAGGATGTATCTGGTCCTGCACTGCACAAAGTGAACCAAATGCATCTTCAGACTGGGCATCCCCTTGTCTCTGTATCATGCTCTTTGTGACTGCTCTCATCCCTCATCCCTGTCAGGTATCAGCAGAGGCCAATGAACTAGAAAGATGCAGCATCAAAGGAAGAAAATAAGTGCAAAAGTTTTTAAGTATTATTTCAGGACAAACAATACTCACGGAGACCTGTGAAGGGCCCATCAACAAACACCATATGACAAATTTGTAAGTACTGTTTCTTTTGACTATCTCATACATGTTCCAAATCCATTTTATGAAAAAAACTAATTTTAAAATACAAATTTTTATGTTAATATCCAAATTCTAATGTAAATTTTATTTTATTTTATAAATTGTATTTATTTTCAATTATTCAAATTTACTTGCTATGGTACAATCAAATTTTAAATGACAAGATTTTATATCCAGGTAAAATGAAACCACAACACATAAGTGGAGCACAAAAATGAAAGCTCACAGAAAATAAAAAGAAAAGGATTTGTGACTCTCTAAAAACAATACCAAAACACAATGACTCAGATGAGACTTCTGCTGAACACTCAAGTTTTATGGGTACAAACTGTTGTTCTAATACCACTAGTGCTGAAATTACTACTAGCAATTACGAATATAACAGAACTTGTTCTGAATTCTGAATCCATTCCTTGCTATAGTAAAAAATAAATACATCCACTCCTCACTTATCAACATGGTTAGGCTCTAAACACCAAGTCATAACACGAAAATTGGCATTATAGGAAAATGGAGGATGACTGTATCATTATGTAAATGACAAATTACACAACTGCCATATTTTATCATTACATAACTATCAAACACTGAGAATCACAGCCCAGCCAAGTCAACACATAATCTTAACCATCACAGCCAGCATTACTCTCACCTCACACCTCAGCACTCATTACTGACAGACATACATCAATGCGCAAAATAGTCAGATTATTTTATTTTATTATTGTTGTAAATGTGAAATCCAGTTAATGAGACAGCCTATAAGTGAGGAGGAGTGTAATGGTGTAGAAAGCTAAGCTATTTTAGAATCTAAAACTGTCACATCTGCAGACCCCCTAAGTAACAGAAATACAGATCCTGCTTTGCGGGGTAATTTCTCTCCAACGATATAAATTATTGGCTCTAAAGAGGGCCTAGTGATTGTCAACATCATACTGGACCATTTGAAAATTCATGTCAAAAATTTCTGGATGGTAAACAAACAAGATTCTACAGCCAGAAAATATGTCTAGAGTACAAAGCTGACGATGAAATTGTAAGAGAAGCTACTGTATTCTCCATCAGTTGCTGCTGTTATTGTTTGGTTTGCAACTATTCAGTCCTAAATCATTCAATTCCCAATTTGCTATATATGGATTTGGCAATCAGCACAACTCAAACATGAACACAAAAACAGTTCAATTCAGAGACTGTATGTCATCATTTCTAAACCGAAAACATGGTTTTGGCTTAGCTCATGAACTGGAAACACAAATTAATGAAAAATGGCAGTACTGGAAAATCGTTTTGCAAACACTGTTGCTGTCACTGTAACAATCATTAAACACGGACTATCTTTTCAAGTAAGAAATGAAGTGCTTGGGTCCCTACAATTGCACATTATTTGAGTTTCTCAAACTTGTTGCTCAGTTTGATCCATTTTCAGCAGATCATATATCAAAACATGGTAACACAAGAAAGGACAATCCACTGTATTTATCTAAAATGTGAAAAATTAATAAACTTAACAAATGATAAAGTTCAGTCAACTATTTTCAGTGAAATAAATATAGCCTGATATTTTAGTTTGTAGATCCCACTCCTAATCTCCCATACAGATCAGCTACATACTGTTTTAAGATACAGGTCTCCAACAGATGGAAAATCTGTCAAGCAATTTATCACATTTACTAGCTTAAAAGTCATAACCGATTGAGAGTAAGATACAAGATACATAAGAGACAAGTATTGATTTCGGTGAACGGAAAGGCAATATACCAAAAGCAAGTGACCAGCACAATAACCCTAAGGAAGAAGACGACACAGAGAGGTACACAAGAGATGCAAATAACAAATAAAGATAAACACTTTTACATACACAATAGTGCCTTAATCAGTAATAACAAACATTACAGGTGGATACAGAAGTAGACAGGCTAAATGATCAGGTATGTCTAGGCAAAAGGGAATATACCCACGACCATATGTAAGTATGGCGCACAGTATTTCTGTATACCTATTTGTATGTGCTTTAAGAATGTCCATATATGTAATGAGAGATAACGAGGCAAAGTTATGATAACTTTAAAAAAAAAAAAAAAGTCACACCAGTTAAGAAATTGTATATGTAGTACTTCACCACTTACGTTACGTTTGCAAAATTGATATTTATAAGTGCAGAGGCCAGTCCTATGACAATGCTGTCAATATGTGAGGACATTATAAAGGCATGCAATGGAAAATTTTAGAACATAATGAATATGCTGCTTTCATACCATGTGCTGCACAGTCACTTAATCTAGTGGGATGTAGCTCAGTAGATTGTTGTCTGGAAGCAGTTGATTTTTTTTCCTACTGTTCAGTTACTCAACACATTTTTTGCCCCCTCTACTCACCAACAGGCAGTTCTTAAAACATATGTAGACGAGCCAGCTACCCAGAGGGACCGAGTAGTTGATCCTGCGGGCTTGGGACCACAGTCGCAGGGGACATCAAGCTCAATTGGCATAACATACTATACAAAACATTGTTCCAACTACTACTTTGGTGAGTAG